GAGCGCCTGCGCAGTACATGAGTCAGCAACTTTGCTGGCGGCGCATGCGCCCACAACACAAACAAGGGGCGGTGGGAGCGCATGCGCTGTGCGCAGGCTGGAAGCGGCCACGGGGTCTGGGCTTCCAATAGCCCGAAAAACCGCCAAAACACTCACTGGTCCTCAACAGGCGGCTTTTATTGAGGCGATCTGCACGGGGGGGAGGCGGCTGACGGGACAGAGCCGCTCACGGGGGCCACAACTCGCTTATGACAGTTTAAATCCACATACAGAGTCCACGGCCATTATCCAAAGGGACACGGGGTTCTTCACTCCTGAACCACGACACCTTAAACCCAGCATTGCACCCCAAATACGGGAGTTTTAAGCAAATGGGAAAGAACTAATAAATAAAGAAGACGGAGAGACTTCACATCCCAATTCCTCCCACAGCCCTGCGACGCGATGAGGTGACTCAACGAGGCTGTTTCCCACCGACATCCAAGCAACCTTGAACCTTCACCTCAACCAAGCGACCCCTCCCCTCGCAGGCCCCGCAGGCAGTAGCTCGCGCATTGCCCAGCCTGGCATTCGCATCACGGCAGCCGACAAGCCCCCAGATCCTCCTCGCGCCGAGACGTCAGCCTCGCGGAGGACGAGGCGAGGACTGAGGGGACACGCGTCCTTAGCATTATCTTCGCCAACAGCGGGGAGATGACGTGATGGCAGATTTCAGGGCTTTAACGGAGGTTTGAGAGATTTTTTAGTCATTATAACTCTTTTCCGATGGCTCTCTTCCAGCGCTCTCCCGTTTCTTCTCACTAGGAGGCACGTAGACAGCCTATTGTTTTGTTGCGCAAGCAGCTTTTCTTCCCAAGTATCTTCCAGCAAAAATAAAATACAGATGTTTGCATCCATGAGTCACTCAAGCTGGAATTTCGAACCCAGCAGCAACGCGGGGTGGCAGATCTTCAGTCCCAACCTCAGACACCTTCTCCAGCCTCAGCCTTCCCTTCGCTCGCAGCCTTACCGCCAGGCCCGGTTCAGCCGCTTCACCTGAGCAAGTCTCTTGGTGATCATAGTAGCAAAAACCAGCCCAAAGAGGACGCTGCTTATGAGCACGTAGTCGTAGTCGTCTTTCAGGACATCAAACTGCTTCGACGGGTACACTCGGGTCTGGTAGATGTCCAAGCCGTATGCAACAACCTGAAGGGATGAGATACTGAGCTGCCAGCACCAAACCACGTGCATCAAAAGCGACTGACTCGGGTCTACAGCTCTGTAAAAGTGTTTAAGCGGTGAGCAGCCAGACAACGGGAAGTTACAGGCCTCCCTACCGCAGGCTACGGTATCACGCTGCTCTCCCCACAGACTCCACGGCCCTATTAAACCCTTCGCCCTGTACTCACCAGACAAGTCGACTCCAGGCCGGAGGGGGCTGTATAAATCCCTGTCATTCGGGATATGGTTTGATTGTAGTTGATAAACCTCTCGGCGTGGATCTGCACATCAGGGGAGTATGGAATCAGGTTCTCTTCTCTGAAAGGCATTTAAAGAGAAATAAAAACCCAATCAAAACAGCACACAAAGGACATTCTCTGTGTTCCCCAGTTTGATCATCACAAGCTGCCCTACACCAGCAAATTTAGCAGTTTTCCCCAGCGCCTGCTGGGTCAGCTACACCACAGCAGCCTCTTTTTAGGCTTCTAAAGTTTTAAAAATAAGTGTAATTCTAAAAACTTCAGAGAGTTGCTCTGACTGCTACTTCTTATTGTGCAGACCACAGGCTGGCTTTGCTAATGATGAGACCTGCTGTATTACAGGCAGATGAGTTCCATCATCTCAGACTGGGAACAAAGCAACCTTGCATCGTTTCATGCAAGAATTGCCCTGAATCTGCCCAGGACGAGTTGTTCTACATCACGCTACCACGTTACAGGCAAAATCCATCCCTCTTCCAAGCTGCCGAGGAAGA